TGGGCCCCAACGTACCCTGGCCCCCTCCCCAGTATTGGGGGGCAGATGGGGGGCTACTGGGGAAGAGTCTGGGGGGGGGTCTGAAGGGTCAATGCAGCTGGGAGGGGGGGGGACACCTCCATGCACACACTTACACCGGGGGGGGGGGCTCATTGTTCCCAGCTCAGATGGCGGGGGGATGCCCAGTGCCCCCCCGTTCACCCCCCTTCCACATTAACCCTTACCCCCTCCCCTCACCCTTACACCCCCCCCCCCCCCTCCCTAGGGGTGTCTCCCCTATGGCGTGCATCCCCCCCCCCCCCCCAGCCACCCAGAGGCGCGGTGACGGCCGCATTGATGCGCATCTCCCGTTCCCATAGTCCCATCATCATCATCATCATCATCATTCCTCCCCCCCCCCCAACCAAGCCCCCCCCCCCCCCCCCCCCAATTTGGGTGCATTTTGCAGGAGCTTTTGGTTCCTAATCCGGGGCCTGGGCTGGCGGGTGTGATTGGCCGCGGCTGTCACATGGTGAAAGTAACTTTACGGGTCGCCAGCTAGTAGGAGGGCTTTATGGAGCAGAAAAACGACAAAGCGAGAAAAATTATTTTCCACTCCAGAAATTAATGATCATGAGCTCTTATTTGATGGACTCTAACTACATCGATCCGAAATTTCCTCCATGCGAGGAATATTCGCAAAATAATTACATCCCAGACCACAGTCCGGAGTATTATAGCCGGGGCAGGGAGCCCAGCTACCAGCACCACCCGGAGCTGTACCCGGTACCGCGACCCTCCTTCCCCGACCGGCCCTTCGGCTGCGGGGGGCTCCAGGCACCCGGCAACCCGGCCACGCTCCAAAGGGGACCGGGGCCAGCTCCAGGAGGGCAGCACCTCTCAGAGAAAGCGCAGCAGCTCTGCGAGCAAGCTGCCTTGTCCTCCTCCTCCTCCACCACTCCTTCCCCAGCCCCTCCAGCCTGCAGCCAGCCAAACCCCGAGCATCCCACCAGCACAGCATCCAAACAGCCCATAGTCTATCCCTGGATGAAAAAAATCCACGTCAGTACTGGTATGCAACTTTTATTTTCCTCTTCTGTCTCTCGGCTCTTCTTTTCACACCATGCTCGCTCCCTCTCGCTCTCTTCCTCTCTTTTATTTCCTTCCCTTCCATGAGAGGCTTTGGGTTAGCACAATTGAACTGGATTTACGACTCCGAATGGGTAATTACACCCACCATAAATTTTATAGCCGAGCTACTGTGGGCAGCCTTAGCCATGTGGCTCGCTCTGTTATGTATGTGTGAAACTCCGAAAGCTTTGTAAGGGTGCATAAATAATTCAGTCTTTTGAGCCAGGGAAACCCCTTCCTATTAGAATAGAAACTCTTGAGCTGCCCAAAGCTCTTTATTACCTATTTAGCCTATTACTTTTGTGTTTTTTTCCCTCCCCACCCCCCCCCCCCCGGCTCCTCCAGTCCCCTCTCTCCATCCACGCTGATTTTCCTTGTGTGTTTTTTATTTTTTTGTTGTATTTTTTCCTTTTTTTTTTTCTATTTTTTTTCCTTTCCTTTCTTTTGTTGTTTGTTTTTTTTTTTTTTTGCCTTTTTTCTTTTGTTCTTTTTTTTTTTTTTTCGTTGTTGTTTTCCTTCCCCTCCTTTCCAGTGAACCCCAATTACAATGGAGGCGAACCCAAGCGATCCAGGACAGCCTACACCAGGCAGCAGGTTCTGGAGCTGGAGAAGGAGTTTCACTATAACAGGTACCTGACCCGGCGGCGGCGCATCGAGATCGCCCACTCGCTTTGCCTCTCCGAGCGCCAGATCAAAATCTGGTTTCAGAACAGGCGGATGAAGTGGAAAAAAGACCACAGGCTGCCCAACACCAAAGTACGAGCAGCACCCGCAGCCCCCGCCGCCGCCTCCACCGCCCCGGCGAGCACGGCCGCGGGCGACGAGCTGCCCTCGGCCGCCGCGCAGGACCCGCGCACGGAGGATATCACCAGGTTATAAACCCCCTCACCCCCAACCCCAACCCCAACCCCGCACACAAATGACTCTGGATTATTTATAGAATCTAATATATATATATATATATTTTGGTTCTTTCCCTTCCCCCCTCTTTTTCCCCCTCGTAGTTCTTTTCTTATGATAATATGATGATGATGATGATGATTTTTTCCTGTGCGTATAAAACCCAACGGGTGTCCCGTCGTCGTCGTCGTCGTCCCCCCCTCACACCCCCACCCCCGAGACCACGGGCTTTAGGTGCATGTCCGGTAGCATGAGGCCAGGTGTCTGTACCTGCGGGGTTTTCTTTTATTTTGGTTTTTTTTTTTAACGCCGTTTCAAGGGTTTTATTTATTTTTTGAAGAGCTGGGGGATGGGGAGGGAGCTGGGGGGGGGGGGGGATGGGGAAGGGAAAAGAAGGCAAAAGGGAATCTTCTGTTGGCTGAATGGAAATGGAGAAATGATGGGAATATTGGACGCCAAAAGCAGACGAACCAACAGCAAAACAAAAGGGAAATGTAGGTATTTCCCCCCCCCCCCGTTTTATTTTTCTCTGCATTACAAATGCACAATGAGCGAAGGAAGTTCTTTTGTAGCAAGGTGGTGTTGGGGGGGGGGGGGGAAGCTTTAAATCGCTAGAAAACGGGAAAATAAAGGGCAAACAAAACGCTACGAAGCAGCACACGAGGCTTTGCTGGGCAAACTGAGAAGGCAAAGGGCAGTGCGAGAAAGCCCGAGTGGCAGATGGCAAGAAATCAAAGCAGAAGAAGGTTTGAAGCAGTCGGTAGCGAGGGCTTTATTTATATTATATTTTTTTTTCTTTTTTTGTCGTGCTTATTTGTGGTTTTTTGGACCCATTTTGACCTGCTCATTGTAAACTTGCAATAAAAGAGTTTTAGTGTGTACGTGGAAGTCCCAGTGTTCAATAAACCAGTCAGTGTGAATTAGTTTTACTTCTATGTCTGGTGACTTATTTGATCCCCTATATCCTCTACCCCCCCCCAACACCCCCCCCCCCATCAAACCCGCCCCAAAATCATCATAATAAGGATAAGAAAACGCTGGGACAATGTGCAATGGAGCCCATGTGCACCAGCGGCTGCTTAAGTTCAGTTGAAGCAAGCCTAAAGATAACTCTCAGCTCCAGGGTTTTTAGGGCATCACCACTGCCTTCTGAATGTCAGAACATAAAAAATGGGGGTAAAAAAGGAGGAATTGGGGCTTTTCAGGCAAGGGCTGTGCATTGGGGGTCGCTTCCAGGCTTGCCTCTGTGTTTTCTTGCCCACCCCGCAGAAAATGGGTTGGGGTTAGGTCCTCTTTGAACTTTTTCTCGTGGTGTTTTTGCAGTTTTTATTATTATTATTAGTAGTAGTATTACTAATCATTATTATTATTATTACTACTATTATTATTATTACTATTTCTCCTGCTGTCGTGGTGCCCTCGCATCGACTCATTCAAGCCAAGAGGTCACATTGAATTTTGCCCGGTAATGAAAAGCCTCTTTAATAATAATAATAATAATAATAATGGGAATAATGACAGTAATAGCGTTAATAACCCCAAGTCATTGCTCCTGGCCTTTGGAGGCGGCCTGCGCGTTGCCAGCAATAGGAGGATTTTAGGGTAAAACCTGGGTGTCCCCCTCCGTTCCTGAGCAAGGCAGGGCAGGGGGTGCAGAGGGAGACGCTGGGCTTGAGCTTTCCCTGCTTTGTTGGTGAATGAGGCCTTGGTTTGGGAAGTTCGCTGCTTAAAAATCCCCATGGAAAGAGGCTGGGAGAGGGAGGCCTGCTGGAAGTGCCCCCCCCCCCCCCCCAAGCCTGGGACCTTGAGGTGTTGGAGGGGAGCCTTTGCCAGCATCTTTATGGGGGTTTTATTCTCTTTATCTGTTTGCTTTCCCCTCTCCACCATCGATTTAAGCTTCCAGGGAACAAATTATGGTCTCAGGCCCCTTTGTGATCGCTGGGGGATGGAGGGGGAGAGGAGGGTTCCCATTTATCCCGAGGAGTTTGTATGGAAAAGCTCATCCGCTTCTTTTCCCCTTCCCCTCTTTCACATCCTCCTTCAGTGATATTAATACAAGGATGAGGCTGGAAAGAGAAAAGATATCGACAGGACCCGGAACCATTCCATCTCCTCTACGGAGCAGGGAAAGGTGTTGGGAGCCAGTTGGGATTTGGGCTTTTTCCAAGGGAGATCCCAGCCTGTGCAGCTAAGGAGCAGAAGGCAGATAAAACCCAGGCCTGAAACCACAAAATAGGGTAAAATAGAGTAAAAGAGTGCCAAAGAGAGTAAGATGAAGTAGAGCAAAGTAGAGTAAAACGGAGCAAAACAGAGGAAAATAGAGCAAAATAGAATACTAACCTAGAGATAAGATAAAGCAAGATAAAATAAGATAAGAAATCATAAGATAAGAGAACGTAAGATAAAATAAGATGATGTAAGACTAAAAAACAATAATAAAATAAAATAAAATAGAACAAAATTAAATAACGAGCAGGAAACAGCACCTAAAGCTCGGCCCATCCCGTGGGAAGTTGGGTATCTTTAATGTCGTCTTACATAGGCAAGAAATCAAAGCAGAAAGAGGGCGATCGGGGGAAAGGGATCAGGAAGGGAGAACAAGAGGTTTAGAGCAGGGAAAAGCAGTAAAACCACGGGGAAGGGGCAGCCCCAGGTGCTGGGATGTGGGTGCTCCCCCCCCCCCCCCCGAGCCTCCCAATGCCCCCAAGCTGAGGCAAGGCAGCCCCCAAAATCACCTCGGGGATGAGGGGCAGAGCTGGGCATCTGCAGTGCTGCGGGCTGGGCTGGAGGCAGGAGGAGGAGGAGGAGGAGGGTGGGAGGAAGGAGCATGGCTCCAGGTTGGGTTTCTCCCTCTTGGATATGGGGGATGTTGGAGTTTGGAGCTGTGGGAAGGGGCTCTGGGGGGCGGTGCTGTACCCCCAGGCTGAGTGTATCCAATATGGGGGGGGGGGTGCTGGGGGTGGCAGGACCCATGGGTGCCCAGGGTGGGCTCCTGCCTACGGGAGGGTCCTCACCCCGCATCTCCCCCCCGCTTTGGCTGTGGTGCAGAGGGAGAGGGGAAATTACATGAGCAAGGCTGGGGGAGTAGGAAAAAAGGGGGGGGGAATGGAAAGAAAGGAGGGAAAAAAGGGGGAAAAGGGAAAAGAGTAGGAAAGGGGAGAGGAAGGAAAGAGGGAAATAAAGAGTAAAAAGAAAGGGGAAAAAAGGGGAGAAAAAGGGAGAAAAGGGAAAAATGTGGCGAAGAGGGGAAGGGGAGAAAAAGAGGGGAAAAGGGGGGAATGGGAAAAAAGGGAGAAAAAAAGAGAAAAAGAGGGAGAAAAAAGGAGAAAAAAGGGAAAGGGAAAAAGGGGGAAGAGGGGAAAGGGGGGAAGGAGAAAAAAAGGGGGAATTGGAAAAAACGAGGAAAATGGGGGAAATGGGAAAAATGAAAAGGGAGCGGGAAAAGGAAAAAAGGGGAAAAAGGAGGATAAAGGGGGAGAAACAAGGGGGAAAGGAGAAAAAGGGAGGAAAGGAAAGGAAGAAAGGGAAACTAGGGGATATAAGGGGAAAAGTAGGGGGAAAAGGGGGGCAAAGTAGGGAGGAAACGGCTGTTGGTGCTGCAGGAGCCGGAGCCAGGCTCCCTTTTAGGCTCCGGCCGCCTCCATGGGAAGAGGCTCCATGGAAAGAAACTTTCTGGAAGTTTGGGGGGGGGGAGAGGCCGGAGAGGGTTCACAGGGAGGGCAAAGCGGTGGGGGCTGACCCCGACCCTTCCGACCCGCCGCCTCCCACCCGTGTCCCCCCCGGGGTCCGCGGACACCCATTTAGAGGCCCCGAGGCTGTTCCGAAGGGCTTTGGGGGGGGGTCCCATAGGGATGGGGCTGTGTGGGGAGGGGGCAGATGCGCTGCGTGTTGTGGCATTGTCTCCACGCCAAAATAAGCCGGGAGAAACAAGGGGAGAGAAGGGTGAAGTGGCGGCCAAACTTCCCTCCCTTCTTTTCCTCCAGAGATGCTCTGCCTCCCGGCTGGTCCAGGAGCGCTCCCAGCCACGTAAGTAACCCCGATCTGAGGCAACAAAAATGACGAATAAAAATGAAAATAGCTTAAAATAACTTAAAGATCCGTAAAAAAAAAAAAAAAAGAAATTATCAAATCAGAGCAAAAAAAAAAAAAAAGGAGACCCTGGGAGTTTGGGAGGTGAGAAACAGGGTGCAGGAGGAGGGGGAAGCAGGGATTTGATGGCGATGCAAAAGAACCCCGGCTTTCCCCAGCGGGATGGAGCTGCGGGACAGACGGGCAGGCAGAGGGCTGGATGCAGAGCTGCAAGGAAGCAATGTCCCCCCCCCTTCCCCGATCCCCAGAGCTCATCCCTGCGCTCTGTGCCCCCCAGCACCTATAGATGTGGCTGCAGGAGGTACCCCCCCCCCCCTCCGGGGGCTGCATTGTTCAATGCTGGGATAATTCGCTTTACTTTGCTTATTGGGCTATAAAACTCCCAGCAACAACGTGTTTCTGGAGGCTCAAATGAACATCTGAGGCCAGGGCGCTTCCCCCCCCCCCCTTTCTCCCCCCTTCTTTTATGTTCTTCGAGTCCAATTTGTTTTGAAGTTCCCCTGATAAGTTTTTACCGGTTCCTTTCGCAGCTCCCTCTTTATTTTATGCGATTTCTTTTTTTAGCTCCGCTTCTCTCGAAGCAGCTTCGCAAAGGGGCTCGGGCTTTGAGAGGGCTCCAAAGTCGCTTTACGAAGGGTTTAACTGGCAATAAAAGCTGGGCGATGGGAGGGGGAAAGGGTGAGGAAGTCTTTGTATCCAGAGCCTGCGAGGGCTGGTAACCCCTCTTAGATCTACATCAGCAGGCTGCGAGATTGACCTTCCTGTATTGCCTGTTAGGAAGGAAAAGGGATGAACCAGGGCCAATAACAGCTCCAGAGATGCTATGGGGAGATAACTGCGAGGGGTCCCCGTTTGAACTTTCCCGTTTGATTTTTGATGCGCTGGAAACACATTTCCCCCCCCCC